GTTACCTATGCATCTGTGTGCGCACATTATGCAGCTGAGCTAGTTTTACCCCACGACACCGCCGCTTGAGGTGGTGTGGGTGGTCGCAACGGGCTTACGGTCTGCATGATGCTACCCCGCCCTTGGGTGTTGTGCGTGGTTGTTCTCTGATGGTGTTTGCAAATTTCCCCATATCATTGGTTTGATTGGGTAGCAGCTTGGTTGCTTGTTGATGTCGATGACTGCCCCCCACAATTACTACATTGCCCTTGTTCTTCTTCCTGCGGCATATCCTGGTGAGTCTGGGGAAATGCAGCATCGATGAATCCGCCTGTCCCCGTTCCCGTGCCCGCTCCTATGTCCGATGAATATGGATCCACAATATGATGAGATGATGAGGACCACCAGTTCTCTTGTTGCTGAGCGTCCATGTACAGTGGGGCGTGGGCGCTTGCGGTGTGGTCGCTATGGTGATGGGGTTGAACGTAATTCATGTCCAAAGGAGAATGGGGGCTCTCTGGGCTGTTCAGTATAGTCCAATTTGGGAAGGTGTTCATGTTGGTAGTGTAGGGTGAAGTAAGGTGATCGGCGGGGAGATAGTCCATGCCGGACAGCAGAGGCAGCGTCGGGTCCGTAAAAACTTGGCTAGACAGCGTTTGAGTGGAATAGAGCATGTTTTGTGAATGGTAGTCATGAATGGGAGCTGCGGTCAAGTCTGAGAGGGTCTCTGAACTGAGTGTTGCCGAATCGGGGGTCTCATAATGCGTGCCCCCTCCTGCTGTGGAAGAGCTGGAGTTGTTGCTTTGTGTGCGGCAGTCGCACCGAGTGTCGGGAAGGTGTGGGCATGACGAAAGGGGACGTCCTGGCCGCCGGACAGGCATCATGATGCGACTACCGGCGTGGTTGCATGTCCCTGACCGATGTCCACGGATGCAGGGCCAGCTAAGTACCCAGGTTGTAAGACAGCGTTCAAAGTGTTTGGTACGGGCCGAAGAAAAGACTTACCAGGCCACCTTCTTTCCGTCGATTATCGGCATTGCTTCTGTGAAAATGTACTTGAGATAGTGTGTGCGGTGGTTGACCATTCGACTGCAAAGCAATGTTCAAAAAGGGGACAAGAGGCTTTTGGAGGGTGAGATGCGCCACCAGTGTGTCAATATGTCCCCCCCACGCAATTGACAAAACAGGGTAAGGGGGATCAAGTGGGAGGATCCAACCCCCAGTCTTCCCCGGACCTTGGAACCCTTGCAAATAGCTCAAACATTCTCCATGCATAATTACTTGCTGACGTAACATATCTATGAGCTGAAAAACACACTGCAATATTGAATTCTTTTAGTAAAATACAAAAGCCCGAACCTCGATGCTCTGGCGCGGCGGCCCGCCAGAGGTACCTGTAGCTTCACCCAGATCGAAAGAGCAGTGCGGAACTGCAAGACTTTGTCCCTTCTGCGAGTCAAATGCATTGAAGATGGTGATCTCGGATTCTAACTGATCCGGCACGTAATACCAGACATGGTCAGGGCTGTACGAGACCTGGAAGACCTCATTCGCCACTGCCGGAAACACCTCGTCGACGGCGAACAAGTCCTTCGCAGCATTCACAGTCTTTGGGTCCAAGTATGCCATTGGAAAGTCACGACAGGGACCAAGAAGTGGTTTCCAGATGCTGCAGTGTACATGTACATTCATGTGGTTAGAAGCTGGAAGAAGAAGCTGGAAGAGATGGACTGACTTGATGACTTGGTAGTGCCGGCTGAGCATAGCATCTTTCGACCCTCCAAAGTAACGGTCGATGCGCGAGTCAAGCTCTCCGGTGGTATAGTCAATGTGGACCGAAAGTGATGGCTGGTGGGCGTCTTGATTCTCTTCGCCGACCTTGCGTGTAGGAAACGATCGTGCCCGCTTGCGAATCATCCAGTCAAACACGGTCACGTCGCGGGCCCCCAGCGCTTCTGAGATTGAGCGGTGGAGCTCAGGGAGGTAAACAGTTTCGACCCAGTCGTCGTCGTCAAACTTTTGCGCATCGTTCATCTGGCTGCTGTCCTTGAGGGATGCGAGTTTAATGCCACGCTCCCCGTAGCTGATACCTGCCGTTCGCAGATTGCGAATCTTGATGCCATGAACAGGCTTGATGGTGAAGTTGTTCTGAGGAAAGCCTTCGGGAGCTGCGTAGTGCAGGATATACGGCTTCTCGTTCGCATCTCGGGCGGCATCCCGTTGAGCATAGCGGATGGTGGCTGTGATAGCGTCTGTCATGGCAAATTCTTGACTGCGTGTGATTCCGGGGTGAGTTCGGGTTGAGAGACAGAAAGGTGAAATACTGGGTGAATATCCTGTCAAAGCAACAACATACCTCGACCAGTCTATTACCTGACTGTCCTCCCACGCAGCTCCCACAATTCTCCAACAAAACTAACTCAGCGGCATGATTGAGTAGCAACGAGAGGAAATGGGTCTTTTCGAGCCAAATTGATGCTGAAACTGCACCTCAAATAATCATTCCAAAGCGTGGAGGTAGCATCATCAACTATAAAAGAGCCTTCGAGATAGGCACTCACCTCGAGCTCTCAAATCTTTCCAAACCCACAAGATACTCAACTTGAACACCAAATGCTACGAGGTATCGACAAACCAGCTATCTCAACCACCGCACACTCGAACCAAAAATGCAGCCCGCCACCACCGAAAGCCAACCTTGGAAGGCGGTCTGGCCTGCTCCTCAAGGTGCGGTTGGCGCCGCCTCTGCCTCTCCTTCCAATCTCTCTCGAGGAGACCGCCAACCAGCGTGCCTTTGGTAGCCATGCCTCCAACACCAAGGGCCGCATTGTCCATCTTACCAAGACTGCTTGTGAGTTTCAAGTTCTTTCAACACGTGGTAGAATCCTCAGTGCTTCTTGTTGACGGACTGACTCCCTTTTGTTCAGAGGCACATTCCTGTGTTCGGCTGAATCGGCTCACAGGTCCACCAACATAATCGAGCACTGGGAACCTGTCGGTGCAATCTGTTGGCTAATGGCCAGAGAGAAAACAAAGAAAACGGAGACGGGGAATTCAACCATGTACATGCATGGTACAGATCTTCTACCTGTTGTCCCTGACTGTATGGGCAGTTTGCCATCCAACGTTAGATCCCTACATGTACAGTACATGCACATGACAAATTCATATGCCCTCACTGACGGGCCACGTTTCCACCAACCTCTGTCAAGCTAAACTGTATAACAACCTTTAATGCGGCGTAGCTGCTCATGTTTCCAATTGACCTTTGTCTTCTGAAATTTTCTTCCTGAGAGTGTTGCCGGCGAACGGACAGGGAGGGGGGGGGGTTAAGGGTGTCCGGTTGGTCAACGCCCTCCGTCCCCAGATAGCATTGAAGTGGGCCACTAACACATCAAGCCATCAAGGTTCAACACGAAAAACATCCAGGCGGCTCACCAAGTCGGACAATCCACCCATTTTCTCAGTCCCCCGGAATCTTCTCTCAAACTCTCAAACTCCCTCTGCTCCACAACATGCTTAGAATGGAAGGAGGGCAACACCGCCGCCCGGTGTCTTACTCTGGAAACTGATTACAATTGAACAAAGAAGTATGATAAAGCAAGACACACCTACATCATCATGGTATCAAAGCTCAGCTCATTACATGCACAGACAGTACCTGTTCTGGTCTGAGACCTGCCCTGCCATGCCGCACCATCACCACCAAGTCATCTTCCACCTCTCAACCAAACCACAACACTCCCAACTCTTCTTTTCCTTTTGGAAACCAACAAACATAATCCAGTACCTAGCCACCTGCCTATTTCTCGTCCTACTCGCAGCTGTAACTCGTCTACTCTTCGCCGTCCATTCCAAACTACACGATGACTTCCGCAAAGACAAAAAGCTACACCATCATCATTCCCCAGAAGAAGAATCTGAGCAGGTCGATGTGGTCCAATCAGGACCAACAGCGCCAAACACCAGCTCGGGTGAAACGGACACTCTAATGTCGCCGCTGTCGGCATCATTTACACGAGAAAGCAACGGAGCAACCATCCTCTTCTCGTCTCTCTTACCCCACGCACTCGTTGAAACCATTCTCGTCACACTCGGATACTTTCTGTATGTAGCCTGCCGTGGAACCTATCACATCCCACCATTTCCCAATTCCCTAGGCCAGCCCCGTCCCCATCCCACCTGCCCCACCCGTATCGCCCTAACTGACTTGTCTCGGAACTTGCCCTTGTCACCAGCATGCTAGCAATAATGACGATGAACGTCGGTTACTTCATTGCCGTGCTCATCGGAACGTTTCTGGGGACCCTCACAACAAGTGCCAGTACAAAACACCCCTTGGACGTTTGTTGATTCTCAAGGCGGTCTTTTCAAACCTTTGTAAGGAAGGCCTTTTTTTTCTTTTTTTTTTTTTCTTTTTTTTTTCAAGAGTGCAGATTGACAACGCTGTTACGCGCGCTGATAAACGTCAAGGGGGGGGGGGGGGGTGGATTGTACCGAGAGAATAGCCCAATCAAGACGACTGTGATTATGGGGCAGCACATGTAGGGGAGAAGGAGAAGGTTAGGCCTGGGTGTGGTGGTTTTTCGTGGCTGCTAAACTTGCTCAAACTTGCTCATACTTTCTCTGTCCTCCTCCACTCGCTCATCTCCCACTTCTCCATAATCTGCTTGGATGGTTGCCAAGGCCCCTCGGTCAGACCGGACCATGTAACTTGTATCAAAACGGACCTACATGTACCACAGTGACAGGTGCGGCCGCGGGTACCCGGAACGCGACAATGAGCTGAGCGACTCAGAAATTCATGAAAGCCTATCGGGTCCGGAAATAATGGCACCAAGCAGACACGGTGCACGTACGCATGTACAGGACTCGGCTTCCAATAGTCGCGATGGTGGCCACAGCACGCCTCTCAGTTATGCGACATGTTTAAGAGGAGGGAGATTTTAGAGAGACATAATATTGAGTTGTCGGTGTGTGTGCATAAACAAGTGTGGATGGTGGGAAAAGACAAAAAGATTTGTGCCCGCCTGGATTTGAACCAGGAGTCTCGCGCTGGGTGTCCGAAGACACACCCAAGGGGGGCCTAGGACCCAAGGGGCAGCCCGTGTGTTGCCAGTTACACCACAAGACACTGGGATTTGAAATGGTTTGTTGGAAGCAGTTGTCCAGTCTGGGACTAAATACCATACCCAGGCCCACTCCCGGAATGTTAGGAAGGAAGGAAAGAACGACGCCTGGACTCTGCTCCGTGCAAGATGTGTTATCCCGACTTTTTGAGGTTTTAATTTCTTCTTTTCTCACCTGCTGTGGTATTTTGCAGGATGAAGACATTCGAGGGGGCTTTCAATTTGGCTGGTATGTGTCCGTTACCTCACTCAACTTTTGACATGCAAAGCATCAGGTTGACAGTCTCAATGCTATCTACATGTGAATCTAATGAATAATTAAAAAAGAAAAGAGAGAAATCTTTCCCTCGCTGTTTCTGTTTCATGCCTTTCACGTCTCCCAACACATCTATCCTGACACATTCATCCTAATCCATTCTCTCGATCTAATTGCGTCGTGAAGTCTTAATCCGAGTCACACGCGCCTGGTGATCATCTCGCATCTCCTGGCGCTTCCGCTCAAAAAACGCATCGAGTTCATTTTGACGTCTCTCTCGATCTTGGTCAGTCCCACCCGGAAGAGTCTGAGACTTTTCCTTACGCTCAGCCGCAATTTCTGCCATAGTTTCCTTAACCACTCCAGAGTTCTTTATAATATCCCACGTACGAGTCTCGGGGTCAACTGGAAGCTCAGCGTTACCCTTGCGGTAGTCAAATGTCTTCCAGGCGTCGAGGTTCGCCTTAGTCCACTCCGCAGCAAACTTAGGTGACCAAGGGTAACTACCCTCCGGCAAAGGGGGCCAGTCACACTGAGCCCTCAAACCGATTTTCCACCAGAGCCAACGTTTGGCACTCTTGAACGCAGGCTTTCTGGCACGGCCTGGCCCTATCAATGCCTGCATCGCCAATTCCAAACGGTGCATCATGGATTATATCTTCGACTATGGGCGATGTGAATACCGGATCGGCAGGTGGCTGGGCAGCATGCTGCTCAATATTCGAAGTATGATCGGCAATGGCGGGTGAGACAGAAGAGATATGGAAAGCATCTCCAGCATCTGCCTCTGCTTTGACTACTGCAGCACTGCTAGAAGCAGCACTGACATTCCTGCTACGCCTGTTGCGCCTCTCCATGAGCGGAGAACGAGATCGAAGTCGCGGGGGCGGGTGAGGGAATCCTGACTCCAAGCGTGGCGCTGGATGATGCTGTTGGTGGTTCGGGTCGCGAATCATTATGCTGGGCAAGTTGGCGGGCGGTTGACACGGGTGTACACGCACAACATGTTCCCGATCGTACACATCCATCGGGACGAATACGTCGATAAATGCCGGCGCTGGGACAAAGTCGTCGTCATTCTCGCTGCGGGAAGACTGCCGACGGGGTTGCGGCCGGTAATGGTACCTGCAGGATGTGATATTTAGCAATTGTCTGTGAAAGGAGTGAGGAGCAGAACACTAACATGATAGTAGCCTGATTTTTCAACACGGATGGATGCTCAAGTGCGGGGCAGAAGGCAGAAGCTTGCAAATGAGGTCGATCGTGAAGGGCAGGCTGGTTGCTATACAGTGGGAAAACAACATGAAATAAGATTAACTATCTGAACGCTGACTCCGCCTTTTTAAAAACGGTGCAATTACCTACCTAGGTACTTGCTTCAAACTTCAACTACTTGTATCAAAAGCACACATTAACTCCACCGTTCAGCACCCTACGAATCATTACGCCCTAGTAACTTGTCATTCTCTCCCTCCAGCCGCTCGAAATCCTTCTCGAGCCGCTCAATTTCCGTCCTCAGCTCGAATTCCTCCTTGAGCAGCTCCACCTCCCGCCCGATCACCCCCCAACATCCTCCTCATGTGTTCTGCGAGATCATTTTGTTTCTGCTCGCTCACGGGCGTCCCAGACTCCTCTTCCTTGCTTATAGTCGCCGCGATCCGCTGTTTGAGAACTTCGTTTTCATTCTCGAGGGCCTTGAGTCTTTCCTCGAGTATGACTTTGAGGGCTTTGTGTTTTTGCTCCAACTCCTTGTCATAGTCTTGAGAGGGGTTGGAGGTAGAGGTGGGCGTCGACATGGTGCTTGTTTGAATTTGTGTAAGGCGGCGCGTTAATGTTGTTGGAGATGGTTAGTGTTCTGGTTGCTAGATGCAGAGGTGGGAGAGGAAGAGCGAGAGGGGTGTTAGAGGAGAGTTTATATATTCTTGCCCTCGGTGTGTGTACCTTATTGAGCCCAGTGAGATAATGATGACTATTGTGCCATAAGAGCTGAGGGATACCGTATATCAGGCTGTTTTTGTGTAACTGTGGAACAGTTCTTCTAGTTTAGTGCGACCTGGTTTCGAGATTCTCGGAGCAAGGTGCACGACTAAGTAGCACGGAGCGAGGCAGGTAATTCTCGTCACAGTTGTAACATCACTGGCAAGTTGGGCCAGAGATACCGGGAAGAACTGGCAGCGGTGATGCATTATTAGTCTAGTCTAAATGAGCTCGAATTTACCTCTTAAATACTGTACGGAGAACGACTTCGAAGACGAGACGGAAATCTAACGCACAAAAACACCTAACACGAAAACAACGTGCACCAAGCCACAAACCCTCAAAATCCACATTCCTCGTCAGGTGCCAGCACCGGGCTGGACAGCTCCTCTAAGGTCCATACCTACCTCCCACCCCTCATGCTCTCCTCTCTATCCAGCACCTCCTGCGTCGCCCTCTTCCTCTTCTGCTCCCACTCCCACTCCAACACACTCCTCCGTCTATAACTCTTCATAGCATCCTCAAAGTCACCCGCCTTCTCGCGCGTAGTAATATACCTCGGCTTATTAGCCGCCTCCCTCTGCGCTGCTTCCATTTCTCGCACTCTTCCCTTCACATCAGCCCAAAAGGATTTTCTCGCTTCTTGCTCTGCCTTGTTGGCGGCTGCTTCTCTTTCTTCGTGTTTCTCTTCCTGCCAATTGGGAGGGGGATGTTCTGGATGTTTGCGAAGGAGGTCTTCCTTGGCTTGGCTGGAAGAGATGGCGGTGTTGGGGATGGTGGCCATTGCAAGAAGAGGAACTGAGAGGGGAGAGGTGGTAATAGAAGAAAGTCTAAGGAGGAGCAAACCAGGACTGTGTCAAGCTAGGAATTGGGAGAGTATTTTAGTACCCAGGCAAGGTTGAGGTATTTGTTCGCGATGTGGCACAAAGATCCTTCAGCATGACGACAACGTGATTGCCTCTTAAAAGGAGGTTATCGGGAATGAAGGCTTCTTTCATCTTGCCTTTTGTTCTCGCCGGTGAAAGGTCCTTATCGCTCCGCTTCTACGCGTAGTAGGATCCCGACGGTACATATCGTAACGGGTAGTTCGGTGGTCAGCCGAGCGTGAGCACGCATGGCGCCAGTGCAACATAGAACTCTCGTTTATCTTTAGAACGGATGTCTTCTCTCACAAAGACTTATTTGCTTTCGTGAAGGCCCGTTTACCTTTAGAAGGTCTAAATGTTAGGAAGTCCCGTTTTTCACATAAAGGCGTGTTTAGATGCAGCAGAAGACTACGCGTCAACAAACGCTCAAGGGGTGTATTGAAAATTAAAAAAAAAAAAAAAAAAAAAAAACGTTTGGACAAGCTAAGGAGCAAAGAATGTCATGAAAGCATTATGAAAAGTCACTAACAAAAGGCCAAGTCAAAGCAATCCCAAAAGTTCCAAAAAAGCTCCAAAACAAATTATGGAAGATAAATCAGATAAAAGCACTCCTGCGAGTCTCTCTAGAGATCATACCGGTTATTCGGATCCGGATGTCTCTCAGGCAATGTAACCCCATCTTCCTTGGCCTTCTCTTTCTCTGCCTCGCGCTGAGCCTGCTCCTGCTTCTCTAATTCCAGTCTGATCCTGTACTGGTTGACTGCCTCAATGACCGCCTTCTGTTCGTCACTAAGGTCTTGTTGCTTCCCCTTCCCCTTCCCCTTGACATCCTTTTCATCATCGGCAAAGTTGTCATCATCATCATCATTGGCAAAGACCACATTGACTGGATAGACCGCCTTGTCGCTGGCCACGGACTCTGTTTTCTCACCGGTTTTGAGCTCCTCCTTGGGCCTCCCCTTGCCTTTCCACTGCTGCTTTGCTTTCTCTTCTTTTCTCTTGACAGCTTTGAGTTTCTTGACCTCTTGCCGCTCGGCGATCTGATCAGCTGTGTCGTATGCTGGCGTGTTGGGGCTCTCGGACATGTTCGATTCGTTTGAATATGGAGGTGGAGGAGGTCTGGTGGCAATCTTGTTGGGTAAAAGTGATGTTTGCTCTTTGGCTTGTAGCTGTAGGTTGAGAACAGCAGCCAGGTCAACCTGAACATGGGACCTAAATTTATACTCGTCTGTGGCATGACGCAAAAGATGTTGACTCTTTGAACATGACGATAATGCTCTCTCAAAGGTAGCAGAATGATGTTTGTTGTATGTTCATATCTCGGCGTGTTGCAGTACCACAGCGTGTGAGCATGGTCACATTGTAATGATAGACTGGCAAGACCGTCGCGACCTCGAGACTTGCACCGCCTGGCCTTCTGCTGTCCCTCAGATACATGTATCTAACCATATGAATTCCTTGCGTTTGACTCGTTCCATACAATGACAGATCTGACGACTGCCGGGGTGGGATGGGGCTGTCATTAATATCTCAGGCAGGTAGGCACTACCCCAGGGTCGGGCCTTCTCTCAAACCTTCTGTCCCCAGAAAGTTCTGGCAGCTGGAACATTCTTCCACTCCACTCGGAGGCTTCCAGGTTTCCCTATTCCCTTCTTTCTTCTCTGCAAATCTCGCCGTATTCCCCGCTGCTACTGCAAACATCACCCGTCGAGCCCACCCAGCAGGCGAGCAACTCACAAAGGCGTCATTGCGTATGTACGGAAGATTTCTTTATCTTGTGCTCATGCATGTGAACCATTCAGGTCCGCTAATCAGTCGTGACTTCAGACCGCTTGCTCACAATGAACCCTGCCAAGTATCGAGGCGCCACCAGGCAATCTCGTTGTCAACCGAACTTCACGAATAAC